TCCTGTCCTGACTTCTTAAACTTGTTTGGGAACTTGTTGGCCCAATGTTCAGTCGAACCACAAGTAAAGCAGCCCTCATCCTTCTTGTTCTTCTTTAAGGTCTTCTTACCCTTCTTCTTGAAGTCGGTATTCTGTTGGACACCATTCTTTCCCTTGAACTTGTGGGAGTTGAAGTTCCTCTGATTCACCATGTTGGCAACAGAAGTCCCTTCGGCCCCTTTTCCTTGCGAGTCCTTTGCCCTCGAATTCTGCTCAACACTCAGATGGCCAATGACATCCTCCACAGAGAATTCACGCCTCTGATGTTTCAGAGTAGTGGCAAAGTTCCTCCAGGAATTGGGGAGCTTAGCGATTATGCAGCCCGCGACAAACTTGCGCGGTAACTCGCACTTCAGAAGCTCAAGCTCCTTAACAATGCATATTATCTCATGAGCCTGCTCCAGTACAGGAAGGTTCTCAACCATCTTGTAATCGTGGAATTGCTCTATAATATACATCTCGCTCCCTGCATCGGCGGCCCCGAACTTAGATTCGAGCGCCTCCCAGAAGTCCTTGGCGATATGCACAAGTAAATATGCGTCGACCAGTTTATCTCCGATCACGCTAAGAACTGCTCCGAGAAACACAGTGGTTGCCTCCCTGAATGCCTTCTCCTGTTCAGGAGCAATCGTTCCCGTGGACACACCGGTGACCCAGAACACGTTCATAGCCATGAGCCATAAAGTGGTCTTTGTCTGCCAACGCTTAAAATACGTACCGGTAAACTTATCCGGTTTGAGTGCTGCGGCAAAGCCACTTGCCGGAAAATTCCTACACATAATAGGTTTTTGGATTGTTGAGTAAATAGGCAATTTCTCGACTAAATTAATCCACGAGTAAATCACTAGCATGGCATTGACTAAGTTGATGACGTACTGACTTTGACCTAAACATGCACGTACTAAGCAAACAGTAGATAAATCTACACATACTGCTAGTACTGCTAATATGAAATTAATCAGGAGCGGGATAAACGAGTTATACCCTCCAGTAGGCCATGCAGAGGCCGCGGCTTTGGTGGCAGCAGCGGCGTCCTCGGCGGCCTTCTTGTCGGCTTCAGCTTTCTCGGCGGCGGCACGGTCGGGGTCGGTGGACATGGTGATGATGAAGGCGACGCGGACGTAGAGGAAGTAGACGATCGGAAGCGAGCAGTCGCGTAATCGCTGCCCAAAAACCTATTCGCCCCTCACCCCGTACAGGAACCAGAAGGGCGTGGTTTCGGAGACCTGTTCTCCCGTCGACCGTGTACGCGGCGGACGGGATGGAGTCACCGGCGGCAGCAGCAGCAAAGGAACGACGGTGGGCGTGCGCGTGAGCAGATGTGATCTGTTCGTGGCGGCTAGGGTTAGGGGACACAACACACTTATATAGACGCAGCCGCGTGGAGAGACGTGGGCTTGACCCACGTCCGAGTCCGTGACAGCCCACGGTCCGACATCTCAGATCGTGGCCCTGCTGTCAGGACCTCTCCGTTAGTGACTGGCAAAAATAAGCGCATAGGTGTGAGCTCGGCTCGGCTCATTCCCGCAACCCGCGGCGCGTCGCGTCGCGTCGTGGCGTGGCGAGGCGGGCGGCAGAGGAGGAGCACGCGAGGGCCTCTTCTCTTTTCAAGCTCCAATAGCATGTAGAAGAGTCATTCTTATAAACCACTCCAACTTCTCTTCCACTAGCATGGTGGGACTAAACTTCCCACCACCTTATCATGCCACCTACATGGGCCCTTAGAGATCAAATCTAAAATTTTCATATGGGCTCTAGGCCCGTCTCACATTTCAACAGCACACACTGGTCCGGCGTGCTCTCAGAGGCCGCCGCCGCCAACTGCCACCGCCCCATCTTCAGAACTGTACTGATGCATCAACGTTGCTCGGTCAAGCTATCCTCGACGCCACCATGGCACCCAACGGCACCTCCTCCCTGCGCGCAAACATCTGAGCACGTCGCGGTCACCACTGATACACCTCAGCGCCATGCTGCTAGGTACTAGCAGCCGACACATCTTGAAGTCCTTGGAAGATCTGTCGTGCGTAGCACCTGCCGACCAGGCATGACAAAGCATAGCACCTGTCGGTCAGGCATGACTTGACATCTCCACCGAAGCTCCGTGCAAGACGAAGCCGCTCCACCTCCTGCCTCTGACTACCAGCGCTGCTCCACAAATGATGCTCCCAAGAGAGAAACGACACCACAGTGCCGCCATCGTCCGATCTGGAACACCAGATCCTAGGGTTTCCCCCGGAGCAGCACGAGTGGGTTGACAGTAGTTACACGATGATGCCTCCATCAAGGTAACGGCGAGGACGCCGCCATCGCCTGCCGTCGGCTCGGTTTTCACCGGCAACCATGTTTCCCCGACTCGTAGCCGGGACTAGATGACGGATCTGGAGATCCGACCACCCAGCCTCAGGCCGACCACCTCCGACGGAGGAGATGACCACCACCGCCATGTCCCGCCTCCATGGAGAAGGGCCGTCGGACTCCACTGCCGTCAGTAGCTGCACATCTAGCACAGCCACCAATAGCACATCTCGAGCACCCCGGGGATGCCTCCCCGACCTGCCTCGGTGCCGATCCAAGGCCGAGCGCAAGCAGCAAGACGAATCAGGCGAGCAACCAGCAAAACCGCATGCACCACGGATGCCAGCCCGAAGGGGATCTCGCCCGACTCTGCCTAGCACAGGTGCCCCCGCCCCCGCATCGTCTAGATCCGGCAGATTGACCACCGGCCGCCGTAACCATCACCAGCACGCAACCCGCCTCGTGCAGCCCTCCACGCCCGCCACCATGGCAGCCCAGCGTCGCCGCGCCCCTCACAACGCCGCGTTTCGGCCAGGGTAGATCGCCCCACGGCGATCCCGCCTCGCGAGAAGGAGAAAGCGCCCCGCCGCCGCCCATGCCGGGCGGGCTTCGCCCGCCGGCACGCCCTGGCGGCGGCGAGGGGAGGGATGGGGAGAAGGTCGCGGTTCGGCGGCGGCTAGGGTTTCCTCCCCTGCCGCCCGTGGGAGCCCCAGATGTCTGGCTGTGCTTCACCCATTTGTCGTCGCTTGCGTGCCTGTGAAAAGGTGCATGCAAAGTATAGTAGGAGTCCCGCTGCACCTGCACTCTGGAACGTCCGTCGCAAGCACACCTGATCACCGCAAAGATCCTTGTCACTCCCATAACTTGGCCCCTTCCGCCATTCGCGCTCTTCAAAAGATGCATGTTCCTTGGGATAACTTGCTACCGCGACACCAGACCAACATCTTCACTGATCACCAGTGACTGAAAGTTGGAGTAGCTGGAACCAACTACACCTGCACGAAACGTATGGCGGTGTACTTACAGCTAGCCTGACATCGACTTCCATCTTTTATGGAGGTCAAGTCTACTTTCTACGTGTACGTACAAAGATCAGGCGACTCCTGTCCGTCAGGAGCACAATGCATATGCGCGTAGCAATAGGATCGCTCTGGCTCCAAATGAATTCTTCTGCTTTTACAGATATTACCCACTACTTTATTCATTGGATCAAAGGAAAGTATTCCCTCCGTATCAAAATATAAAAGGTTCTTTGACACTATCATAATGTAAACAAACGGCCTTATATTTTGTTACAAAGGGAGTAGTTTGCAGAAAATTCTATCAAAGTCCAAGGAGACACTTGGATAGAGCTTAGCGAAACCACCTCTAACAGCTAGCAGCCTGACTCGGAAATCCACAAAGCGGGGCATACACCTGCTGTCTCGTGATTCGTGAAGTAGTTGGATCTCACATGAGGGCACGCAAATTTTAATCTGAAACTTACAATTTTCTCACTCGATTTTACCATTTTCATAGATAAAATTGCAAGATATTTTTTTCTCAGCCGTAGCCAAAAAAATGTTGATTTTATTGTTTGCACGTACTAAGTTTTAAGAGTCAAAACTTAACATTCATATTCACTAAAAGTGTTTTAAAATGGATCTTACTTGAAAGCCCTCGTCACAACAGACACGAATATGAAACAAAACTAATTTGAACTTTTTTTAAAGATATATAAAAGATTAAAATTCAGAAGCCAAAAATAAAATCACGCCCGAGGGACCGTGTGCCCTGTGGAGTACGTGCTATAAATCTTTTTTCGAGAAAACGCAAAAGAGTTTGCGTTTCATTTCATTGAACAAGAAGAGAACAGCAGTACATGTACAACCTCCCAAGAGGAGGGACACACGCACACACATCATCGTCCTCACCGAACGAGCAGGCGAGGAGGTGCTAGCAACTACAGACTGCAACTACGAAAGGTCTAGCCTTGTCCAGCCTCCAACCATGAACGGCAAGGTAACTAGACTCAGAGCCTCAAGGCCGCGTCATAGCCATTGCCAGGCGCCTCCAAAGAAGACCGCATCTCCAGGGTTGTCCAGGCCAACGTACCTTCCACCCATAAGTGCCTAAGAGATGGCAGGTGGATGGCAGGACCCAACAAGGACTAGTGAAGCCATCGTCTTGTACATGCCGGGCCGGCGTACATAGCGCCCCGGACGCCCACGCTCTATGCTGAAGTCCTCATCACAGCATCGCATTACCAGCAAGCCTCGTCGGAAGACCGGGGAGGCCACCATCTCCAGCTGCCGCATCGGGGACTCCAAGTGCGACCCAAGCAACGCCTTCAAGAAGGGAATGGCGCTGAGACACCACCACTGCCTTGTCCAATGAACTGGACCAAGGGTTTCCCCCGGTGCTCGAGGAGAGGGTCAGTCCGGGCCATGACAACGCCTCCATGGAGGTTACGACACCCTCAGGTGTCGCTGTTGTCAGCGCAGGCCATCGCCGCGCGGGGATTTCGCCGGCCCAAGACCAGAACCCCAAATACCACCGAAACAGAGAAGACATGAGACGGGGAAGCAGACCGCCGGAGAGGACCATCAGCACCGAGAGGGAAACCACGTGTCGTCACTGTCGATGTAGGGAAGCACCGGCCAGCGCAGAGCAGCAGCCGCCGGATGGCTGCCAAACAAGGTCAGCCATCGCAGGGGGTCGCGTCGAGCAGGGGCAGTGGCGCCGTCGCGGGGACATGCCACCTGCACCTTGCTGCCGCCAACCATGGCCGCTGCCGCGGTGACCCGCAGCCTCCGCCACCTGGATCCACTGGGGCACAACCAAGTGGCCGCAGCCTCACCCCCAAAGGGGCACACCGCGCCGCCCGCATGCTCGCCACGCCCGGTCTAGAGGCCCGACCCTCTGGATTTGGGGCCGCCGTCGCGAAACCCTAGGTCCAGAGCAGCATGGCTCCGTCAGCCTCATCAAGCCCCACGCTCGAGGGGGGAGGCAGCCTGGGAGCGAAGTCCTGCCGCCGCCGGATCCGCCAGGTCTTTGCCCAGCGGGGAGCACCGACGGCGGCAGGGGGAAGGGGGAGGAGGAGGGGAGGGAGCGCTCGAGGCTGCGTCGCCTCCCCATTCGCCCGTGGGGAGGGCGACGCGAGGGAGGGGGGAGGGAGTCAAGCCCCGTGCTATAAATCTTGACAGACTCGCAGTTTTACAGTTTTAGTTACCCGCCTAGGTCAGGGCTTCCAGATTGCAACTTGGCCCGCCGTCTACACCGCACCAAATCACCAACCTTGCTTCTCAAGTTGGACATCAAGAAAGCCTTTGACTCGGTTAGACAGGATTACCTTATGGACTTGTTGCGCCACCATCACTTCCCGAGCCGGTTCTGTGATTGGTATCTGCTCTCCTTTCCATGGCCTCCTCCAGAGCGATACTTCATGGTGTTACAGGCGACCCAATCAAGCACGGTCTTGGGCTTTGATAAGGGGATCCTCTCTCCCCCCGCTCTTTGTCCTCGCCATTGATCCTCTGCACCACATCCTAGCCAAGGCTACTGCGCAAGGAAACCTCCATCCCATCTGTGGCAACCCAATCCGAGCCTCCTTATATGCTAACGATGCAGCCATCTTTGTTGCTCCAACCAAGGAAGATATACAGTTTCTTGCCTCAATGCTCTCTGCCTTTGGTGATGTCACTGGGTTAGTCACCAACTACAACAAGAGCTTGGCCGCACCCATTCGTTGTGCCAACATTGACCTTGATGACATTCTTCACGCCTTCCTGGCGTTTCGGACCTCTTTCCCCTTGCAATACCTTGGCCTTCCCCTGTCGGTCACTAGACTTAAACGCGTACATTTTTAGTACATCGAAGACAAGACTGTGGGCAAACTGTCGCCTTGGCCGGCTATGCATGTTGCTGCCCCTGGGCCCATTGTCTTGGTCAAAGCGGTCCTCACGGCCATTGCGATCTACCATCTCACGCCGCTGGAGCTGCCCGCTGAGGTCTGGAAATAGATTGACAGCCTGCGACGTGTCTACCTTTGGCTGGTTGTGATAAGGTGTCAGGCGGAAAGTGAAGGTTAATTGGGAGCTTGATTGCAAGCCTAAGATTTTTCGCGGCTTTGGGTGTGCTTAATCTCGAAAAGTTTGTGACCGCCCTTCGTCTTTGCTGGCTTTGGTTTGAATGGGCAGACCCTCCTAAGACTTGGATGGGGATGGAAACACCCTGTTCTGAAAGTGACAGAGATTTGTTCTCGGCTTCCACAATAGTGACTAGGGATGGCAAAAAGGCTAAATTCTGAGAATCCCCATGGCTAAATGGTCTCCGGCCTAAAGACATCGCGCCAAAGATCTTTGAAGTATCCAAGAAGAAGGCATGTTTGGTTAACAAGGCCCTTAACAACAACAACTGGATCCAGTAAAGGCCGTTAACAACAACTACTGGATCCAATAAATCGACACTACTCAGGGACTCACTTTGCCACATATCGAAGAGTTTGTGGTTCTGTGGAGGATGATTGATGGTGTTGCTCTCAATCCTGATAGGAAGGACACTATATCATGGAAATTCACTTCCAGTGGCGACTATTCGGCAGCTACGGCGTACACGGCGCAGTTCGAGGGCCAAGTTTTCAGCTCAACCTCTCCCACATTCTGGAGGAATTGGGCTCCTCCAAAATGCAAATTCTTCATTTGGCTTATCATCCAAAATCGTGTGTGGATGGCAGATCGGTTAAAGCGGCGAGGTTGGCCAAACTGCGGACTTTGCCCCCTATGCAAACAAGTCCAAGAATCTGCCGCCCATCTTCTTTTCCATTGTAGATTCACTGCCTGCATCTGGACCGAGGTGGTCGCCTGGCTTGGCATTAAGAACCACTCACCACTGATTTGGCGCCACGAAGACTCGGTTCAAGATTGGTGGCTGAAGACGATCAACATGGGAGGACATATGAAGAAAGCTATTGGCTCTGTTCTGATGCTTGTCATGTGGGAAATTTGGAAGGAGCGAAACGCAAGATTTTTTAGAAACACGGCTTCGCCGACCACATGAGTGCAATTATGTCGCGAGAGTAGTCTTTTATTTTGCCGCTTTGTGGCTATTGTCTAAACCTTCTTCTTGATTCGCGTAAGAGGCAAGTGCAAGAATTTCCAATCTTAAAGAAGACGATGCAAATACCAAATTCTTTCACCGCTGAGTTAATGCAAGGAGGAGGAAAAATCATATTCATAGGATCCAAAATGAGCATGGGTGGGTCACCGAGCACGACGCCAAAGAAAAGCTAATCCACGAGCACTTCTCCAAGGTCATGAAGAGAGGTCCCCCGAAGTCGCAAAGATTTCAATTGGGAGGAGCTTAATTTGGAACCACTTGATTTGCATGACCTTGGCACTCCAATGGCCGAGTGTGAGGTTCTTGAAGCGATCAATGACATGCCTAGCGACAAGGCGCTGGGTCCGGATGGTTTCACGGGCCTCTTCTTCAAGAAATGTTGGGGAATTATCAAAACCGACCTCATGAGGGTCATTTCACATTTTGACTCCCTGCACACGTCAAACCTCCAGTGGCTCAACTCCGCAAATGTGGTCCTCTTGCCTAAAAAGGATGGGGCGGAGGGAATCGCCTACTATAGACCCATTAGCCTCATCCATGCGATCGCGAAGATTATTGCGAAAGTGCTCTCCTTGAGACTTGGCCCTCATGTGAAAAATCTCGTCTCCAACGCCCAAAGCGCCTTCATCAAAACAAGAAGCATCCACGACAATTTTTTGTATGTTCGCAATCTTGCTCGACGCCGCCATGCGAGGAAGACCCCCTCCCTCCTTTTCAAGCTTGATATTCGGAAGGCCTTCGACTCCGTTAAGTGGGAATACTTGCTTGATCTCCTCCAAAGGCGAGGATTTCCGAGCAAATTCAGGGATTGGATCGCAGCCCTCCTTAGCACCTCTTCCTCGAGGATCATCCTCAATGGCATTGCCGGCAGCCCCATCAAGCATGGACAGGGCCTTCGGTAGGGAGACCCCATATCCCCACTCCTCTTCGTCATCGCCATCGATCCACTACAAAAAAATTAGATGTGGCAACACAGAGGGGTCTCCTCCATAAAATCCGGGGGCGGGGAGCCATGTTGAGGACCTCCCTCTATGCGGACGACGCGACCGTCTTCTTGGCTCCGATCAAAAAGGATGTTGACAACCTTGCAAGCATTTTGAAGGGGTTCGGGGAGGTCACGGGCCTTTGTACCAATTTCCAGAAGAGCTCGGTGGTGCCCATTCGTTGCAACCACCTTGATTTGGGTCGCTTAACTCAGAGTTTGCCGACTGCACGGACGTCTTTCCCACTACGATACTTGGGGCTCCCCCTCTCCGTTTGGAAGCTAAAGTTGGTGGATCTCCAATTTCTCGTGGACAAAGTTGCAAGCAAGTTATCAATGTATGATGGCCAGAACATCACCACCATTGGACATACGGCCCTTGTCAAGTCTGTGATCACTTCCCAACTGGTCTACCCCGCTACCCCGTTGGTCATCCCACCAACCATCCTTCACAACGTCAACAAGCTCGAGAGATCTTTCCTTTGGTCCGGTTCGGACAAGACAACGAGGGCCAAATGCAAGGTGAATTGGGAGAATGTTTGCCGGCCCCTTGAGTACGGAGGTCTCGGGGTCCTCAACACTGACAAGTTTACGAGGGCTCTTCGTTTGCGATGGCCGTGGTACGAATGGAAGGAGCCCACCAAAATGTGGGTGGGAATGGGAAACCCATGTAATGAGGAGAACCTCAACTTTTTCTATGCTTCCACCACCATCACCGTTGGTAACGGTGTGAGGACCCCCTTTTGGGACTCTCCTTGGCTCCTTGGGAGAATGCCTAAAGACATTGCCTCGCTCATCTATGAAGCCTCCAAGAGAAAGAATTGGAAGGTGATGGAGGCCATGAAGCACAACGCTTGGATTCTCAAGATCAACGCCCCCCCCCCACCAACGTCTCTGTTGAGCACATCACGCAATTCTTCGCTCTATGGATGATACTAAATGAGGTCTATCTTGACGAGCTCAACGAAGATGATATCCTTTGGAAACACACTACCTGTGGGCAATACTCGGCGGCCTCCGCATATAGGGCGCGGTTCCTAGGGACGGTCCTTTCTCCCATGGACAAAATGGTTTGGAAGGTTTGGGCACCCCCAAAGTCAAATTTTTTGCTTGGTTGACCCTTTAAGACAGAGTTTGGACGGCGGATAGATTGGCAAAGCGTGGGTGGCCAAATTGCGATCTCTGCCTTCTTTGCAGCACAGTGCAAGAGTGTGGACCTCACCTCTTCTACAAGTGCCGCTACACCCGGCGTCTTTGGTCTTTGGTCATTGAGAAATTCCTCATGCACGGGCTTGACACTTTCGCTTGGCCCCTGTTCGACTCGGTGAACGAGTGGCGGGCTAGCACCTGCGCCGATGGTACGCCGAACCGCCAAGCCAAGGCCTCCCTCACTATGCTCGTCTCATGGACGATTTGGAACGAGCGTAACGCAAGAGTGTTTAAGCATAAGAGTGCTCCACCGCCAATCTTGCTCTCTTTCATCTCTACAGAGGCCAATCTTTGGATCATCGCCGGCGCAAAGAAGCTAGGCTCCTTTATTTCACGCGAGTAATCCGCATGCCGTGTTTGTTGGGTGTCTTGTAACAAACTCTTTTCTGTCTTAATTAATGGATGAGGCAAAGCTTTTGCCTCCGTTTCAAAAAAAAACCTTCTTCTTAATTAATGAAATTGGTAAGTCTTTTGCCTTGTTTTGAAAAAAAAATTCTGCGGTTTACACTCATTGACTCATTTGAAAAGACAGACTCGAATCTCCAGGGGCAGTCGTCGGTCATCAGTCATGTTGAATCTCACATCAGGTCAAATCGGACGTGCGCTTAACGTTTGTCCCTCCTCTGGCACACTCGCGGCTGGTGCTTGCTGTAGCGTTCCGACCTGCCACCTACGTCGGTGCATTCCGCAATGAAAATCTGGCGCGTGCCGCGTCAAATCCCGGGACATCTGTGTAGATGAGAGCCGCGCAAAGGAGGAATTGTCCAAGCTGTGCGTTCCCAACAGACCAAACAGAGGAATCCCTAGCCGGTGCCACCTGAAAGCGAAATCAAACGAGCTACAGCCTACAAACAATCGGCAGCACTACAGCAGGATGCATCGATCAA